CCTAACAAGGCTGTCAAACTGCTTCTTACCAAGCACAGTAGACTGAGCACCAGAGTCAACAAGCATGCTTGTTGTTGTGTTATCGATCTTCACCATTATCACATTATCCTCACAGTCTACTTCCCCGTTGAAATTGACAGGGAATGCAAAAGCTCCATCTCCACTGTCATACTGTACTTGATTAACTTGCTTGTTCCATGATTCCGGTTCATGTTTGGCATCCCTGGAACCCCTCTGTTTATCACCACGCACTCTCTCATCTCTCACTCTCCTACACACTTTACTATTCTTCTTGCTCTCGGCCCCATTATTAAAACAAGCTGCCCAGTGTCCTTTATCACCGCACTTAGCACACGTTTTACCACGAGCTGGACAGATGTTGTCACGAGCAAAATGTCCCATCTTGCGCGTGCATAAGACTTTTGCTTACCAAATCCAATTGAGATTTTCTTGCTATCATGGTCCTTTACCATGTTCAAGTTACTCTGTCCTCCCTCTCTGAGGACCAGCTCTTCAAAGGTAAAATACAAAACAAAACCAAACATATAATAACCACCGCGTGCATATCCGGCGAATGACTCTCCTCAATCAAGCATCTCTTGTGTTACGGGCAAAAGTTTTGTTTTATTCCTTTAGTTTCTCCTTATTAAATTAACCTTGGGACCCCTTCAGGCGGCATAACAGTGCTACGATAATTAAAGAATGAAGACAATATTTATTTCAACTTGCACATTAGATATAATAAAGGTAAGTTTTTTCATCGATTAACAGAGGTTCGACAGTAAAGAATTCCGCTTACACGTATATTTTTTAGGGAGACATTTATAGATAGATAGACACATATTTTCGAAATATATCATTGATACGTAAGTTGGTAAGTAAGTAAGTAAGTAAGTAAGTAAGTAAGAAAGTAATTTTAGTCAACCACATATCGCATATGAGCGATAGCTCGTTTAAATGCAAATATGGAAACCCACCTATCCCACCCCAGGGGAAGACATCCATCACACAGTAAACTCGTGCGTGGGAAATTAACGGCTCCTGCCCCTAACCCTGCAGGAGACGGGAACTCCATTTATTCGTCCCTATCCGAAAAGACTAGAATATTTAACCATTTCTTAATGTTATAGAAAGGTAGCATATTCTTCTCAATTATTTTAAGACCTTGAGTGTTGGTCCGGCCGAGATTCGAACCCTCGACCTCCCTCACAACAGTCCAGCGTTCTATCCACGCTCAAACAGATCTCCTTATTTAGATCAGTCTTTTCAGAGAGAATTCCGAGAAATTTGAAGACCTGTCAGATGCAAGAGCAGATGGGAGAGTAACTATTTAATGGCATTCATAATCGTCAAGTTGCAACGACTAATAGCGAAACTCAAATCAACGATTCACTCATCTAGCGGTGAAGCGAAGGGGAGTTTCATTTGATTATATTTTGCCAAGACCAAAGCTCGTCATGATAAGAATGAATCCAATTAAACTGGGTTTTAAACGAACTATGCGTACATAATCTTACCTTAACTCGCCACCTGGAGATCTTTCAATAGAAAGACAAAATGTTGCTGTCCATCGCTATGCTGAGCAAATGATTCATTAAGCTATCGGTTTAAAAGTAAGGATGAGAAAAACAAATTTACCATTGGGCACTTACTTGGCAAAGCTCAGCATAAGTGATATATGTCTTTAAGAGGCTATCCATGAGAAAACCATGCAAAAGGTGCTACAGTGCACATCGCAGAATTAGCTCAAACTTTCCACATAGGCATAACTTAGTGAAGTATTGGTAGACATGGTATTATTTTTGTTCAAGCTTCTTTCTTTTCTTTTTTCAGGGGGGTACCCTTGAACAGCCAAATCTACATTGAAATAAGTTAAAATTCTGTGTTTTTTTCAATGACAATACTTCTGGCAAATTGTACAGTAATCCAGGTGAAACAAAATTCTCACAAACTAATAAGTATACACTCTTAAACAATGAAAACATAATTAGTGTGACTCTTCTTTATTACATTTTCCATAGCATTATTAAACATGACATATGCTAATGAGAAAAATTATGCAAATTTCTTGAGTTTTCAAAAAAAGGTTAAAAAGTTCTCGCAGAGCTTCAAGTAAAATGAAATACTTGATAATTTACGCAGAGGTATTGTCTTTTCCTCTGATAGATAAAAAATTCTGGGTATTGCAGTAGTTTATGAGAAATACGGAGGCTTTACTGGTCACCATTTACTTACCGATCGTCCTACCGATCGTCCTACCGATCGTCCTACCGATCGTCCTACCGATCGTCCTACCGATCATCCTACCGATCGTCCTACCGATCGTCCTACCGACTTAAGATAATACTACAATTCATGATGATTGGTTACATTTCCCGGGTACTTTTGAAAGAAATTGCAAGAAACCTTCCCAATAGGAGATTCTAACCTTCTCTGTACATTATTATGTTTCCACGGGATCAAATCTGCCATAAAACCGTCCAAAAGTGCACATTTCATTGCCGTTCACAAAGACTGAGTGGTGCGATAAAACACAGGCTGGGACTTGTTTCTCAGATTTGGTGTTGTTGAAAAGGCCAATACTGTAATTCCCATTTTTATATTTAAATTGACAACAGTCATCATTTTCTGGACATAAAGATTACGACAGAACGGCCACAACTCAACCACAACTCTTTCACTATTCATCTGCCATATTACCTTGTGCGCCTGCAATGAAAAACTGACCTGCGGTAATAAAATTGGCTGTGTAATCAACGGGAAGTGTTCTTTTGCTTGATGTTTTAAAAAATGGTTTGCTTTGATGCCATTTACAAATTTCGTATTTTTGCTTTCTCTGGCAAAGTGTAAGCTTTTTTAAATCTATTTTATAGGCTTATAAGGTGATATAAAGAGCTGTTCGTTGTACACAATAAATAAGAGCCAAGACATCTTCCAATACCACATAACTTAGAAAGAAATAGATCTGAAAATTGGTTGCAGAGCCCCGTGTGCGGAGATGGAACGAAATTTAAGTCTAAAACAAAAAGTTTTCAAAAACGTTTGTTGT